TTCTCAAAAATATTAATATCACGACAGAAGTATATTCAGAGTTTCTGGAAGAAACATTGCCAAATTTGTTGGACGATGTTCCATTCTTGAATATCCTACCAAATATTATATTCCAGCAAGGCAACTATCTAGGCTATACATCTCTTATTGCCCGTGCTATTTAAAATCGTCGATTTTCACACAGGTGAATAGTATTTACAGCGATTTACAGCGACGAATGGTCATCATGATCACCTGATCTCACACACATAAATTTTTTACATGAAATTATATACGAGATCAAATGTATCAGATATTACTACGCAACTGAGATGAATTAATTGAAAAAACTGAAACAGCAAGTCGCAGTATAACACCGCAGTATAACTACCATGCTAAATAGAGTGCAACAAAATTTCATGCGGAGAATCGTATTTAAGAAAAATGTAAATATTTTGAATATCTCCTGTAAAAATCAGTAAATAGTTTTGAAACAAATATAAGAAAAATTTTCGACTGAATATTTTCTTACGTTCAATATTTTTACCTTGCATAATATATTCAAAATAATTTGGAATACACAACGTTATCTTCTGTCTATCTATACCAATCATCGTTGGTAATCAGTATTCTTAAAACATTCCAAACTTTCGAGATCATAGCCGATTTAATTTTATTAATGATTTTTTTCGTTTGTTGCTGTATATAAAAAATGTTGTTTGTAGCATTTGTCGGGCGTCGTCGGTTAAATTACAATTACTTTATGCTGCGTTCGGATCGATTCGACTTGTTTCAGAAACTGATTCCAAAATGAAATACAGTGGAATACGGATTTGCAGCCGACACGTTTTTTCTCTTTCACTTTTTCTGTGTCTAAAAATTTTATCGAAACTTACAATGCTAATACAAAAAGTAAAGAGATGAAGGAAAAAGGTTTGTTGTATTAGTATTAAATTCTGTTGAGAAATCGCTGATTCGATCTCGAGTGAGATCTCACGCAGAGAAGGATTCACGGACCGGATGCACTAGGGAAATCACACGCGTTAAAGTTCACACAAATAAATACTTTATTAATTATTCGTAATGCTTCGACGAACTAATATTCGGAGTTTACACGATTACGCAGTATGTTTAGTAAAGAATAACTCACATGACTAATTATTTACCGTCTGCTAGCGAGGAACGAACAGGGAGGGGGAAATCAAGATAGACTGCTGAAATGAGACTGTTATGTGATATTGCGGTTATTTATTGAATTAAAGAAATAGTGAGTCGATAATTTAGATGATTAAAATGTGAAACT